ACACAGACTCTCTCTCTCTCACCCACACATAGACTCTCTCTCTCTCTCACCCACACATAGACTCTCTCTCTCTCTCACCCCCACATAGACTCTCTCTCTCTCACCCACACATAGACTCTCTCTCTCTCACCCACACATAGACTCTCTCTCTCTCACCCACACATAGACTCTCTCTCTCCCCTACCCAGACAGAGACCATCTCTCTCTCACCCACACATAGACTCTCTCTCTCCCCTACCCAGACAGAGACCATCTCTCTCTCACCCACACATAGACTCTCTCTCTCCCCTACCCAGACAGAGACCATCTCTCTCTCACCCACACATAGACTCTCTCTCTCCCCTACCCAGACAGAGACCATCTCTCTCTCACCCACACATAGACTCTCTCTCTCCCCTACCCAGACAGAGACCATCTCTCTCTCACCCACACATAGACTCTCTCTCTCCCCTACCCAGACAGAGACCATCTCTCTCTCACCCACACATAGACTCTCTCTCTCCCCTACCCAGACAGAGACCATCTCTCTCTCTCTCTCTCACCCACACATAGACTCTCTCTCTCCCCTACCCAGACAGAGACCATCTCTCTCTCTCTTTCACCCACACATAGACTCTCTCTCTCCCCTACCCAGACAGAGACCATCTCTCTCTCTCTCTCACCCACACATAGACTCTCTCTCTCCCCTACCCAGACAGAGACCATCTCTCTCTCTCTCTCACCCACACATAGACTCTCTCTCTCCCCTACCCAGACAGAGACCATCTCTCTCTCTCTCTCACCCACACATGGACTCTCTCTCTCCCCTACTCAGACAGAGACCATCTCTCTCATACCTGCACCTGCTCACTTTGATATTTATTCTGTATATTTTCAAATAACGTTGGTAACTTAAAGGTCCATTTTCCTCATCTTTTAGGCACATGGGGCTAGACCTAATTTTTTATAGACCAATCGGCACAAGATGGGTGATGTGATCAGCAGCATGCCAGCCGCCTTTACTTCGCGGGGGGGGGGGGGGGGATCAGCGCAGTCTATACGAGACTCGCTTTCAAATCCTGCAGCCACGGTCCGTGTTCGAAACCGGGCGGCTCCCGGGTTTCACCCAGCCTCAAGGAAATGGGTACCGGAGTGACACTCTGGGGTAAATGAAGGAACGTCGCTGTAGCTAAATAGTTACGTGCGAACGGCGACACAGACGGACAGTTTCTTATCAGCTGGTCATACTGGTGGCAGAGCACTTATGGTTTATAACCGTGTGCAATGACGCTGGTTTACATCTTCCGACTTTACCTTGACATTTACCTGTGAGTCAAGGTCATTTTTTGAAAGAAATTAGGCTGCTCCAGGGAGCGAACCCACGACCTTCTGATCTGCACGCGAGCGTCTAGCCGCTACGCCACAGCGGCCGCCCTTCGTATAACCTTACGTACCTTACTTAGAACTTACAGTTGTGGTCTGCCTGAGAGGCAAAACACCGAGGGTCTGCATACAGATAAACCAGAAAGGGATGTGTACGCAACACTCAGGTTCTGGAACAAGACTAAAGTCCAAAGGTGGACGAACACCCAAAACCTTCCACCAGTGTTTATAGTCGATGAACGCGAAGAAGAAGCTATGTGAGCTATAATGTGTTTTTTTTTTTTTTTTTTTTTTTTTGACACGCTCTTGATTTCTATTTTTTTTTTTTTTAGTGTTATATTAACTTTTATTCAATATTCTGATCGCGTCTTTGTGTTTGGAAACGTCTTTCAATGACTGAAGACTAATTGGTGATACAGTCGTTTAATGTTATAAATTAAAATTTCTAGTGAACCCATTTTCTCCTAGATAAATTAAGTCCCAGATGGAATGATGTCAGCTAATAAATGTGAAGGGAATATTTTAGTGTAACTGGGACAGCGACGTGAATCACACGGAGAAATGCTGGCCAAATGAAACTCATGCGAATCTCGGAGAAAAGGTGACCAAATGAAATCCGTGTAAATCAGAACACGGAGAAGTCGTAATGATAAAAAAAAAAAAGAGGGGGGGGGGGGGTTAGAAGGTTATTTAATGCCTCTGAGAGAGCATGTTGGGCAGGCTCGTTTGGGCCAAGGAACGGAGTGCGTGAAAAACCGAGGAATGTTTGTGGATTCAGGATGTGTCTAAGTATGATTGTAGCTTCAACGCCCAACCTGGCCAACAGCAAGGACGGACGGAAAGTCGTCTGCCAGTTAGTCACCGTCAGAAAAGCAGTTGTTTTGTTTCATCGTGATTGTGTAAGGACAATTGTAATTTCGACTAAAAGGTAAAGTTGATCAGTATTATTGAGTGTTTGAGTTACAGTGTATGCCCTAGACATTGTTCTATTTCATGTTCCTGCTGAGCAAAAATGAGTGGAAGAATAAAGTGCAGAAACAGTCTTGTGTTGTTTGCAGTTGTCCATTTTCTGCTCGTCGTGTTGATGTCGGTGTGTGAAATAGGAATCTGCAGTGACTGGAGCCAGATAGAGAGAAAGATTACAGTCATTGCAGAATTAACTAGTGGTTTATTGGGTTATCTATCTCAACCCGGCCTCGATGTTCAACACTCACGTCCAATCTCTCTGTCCCACTTCCAATGTATTGCCAGTCCTTGATGAGAGTATGTTAACGAGTTATGTGTGTTCATTGAAAGTATCCGTTAGCAAGCTC